AATGTAACGGTGTGGCCCGATGTATAGCATTTTGTACCGCAGAGAAAAGGGAGCTGCTTTAGATTTAGCAAATGCAAGAAAATGTTTTTCTGCAGTACGGACTGCAGTAGAAAAATCTTCTACCACGCTATATTCTGTGCTCTTGAATTTACGGCCGCAGGAAAGGATTGCGGATTTAGTCTTGTAAAAGGTAAACCGAACTATTATGGGACGACGTCAGTTTTCGCTGAATTTACCAAGATGGTGTGCACGGTAAATTTTCTTAGGATCTACATTAGCGTCTAAGTAATTGCGACAGATGTCAATAATTAGTTGTCCCGACTCAACGAAGCTTTCTTTTGTATTTGTTTCAGGAATACCATAAAAATTAGGTTATTTCGGTGGGAGTTATCTTCCGCTTCATCCAGACGGGCTTCAATATTGCCAACTAAGCCAGCGGTTTGCGTACAGTCAGCCCTCAAGCTATCACTGTCAGTCCTGATTGACAGGAGGCTTTGGTGAAGGCTTTCCAGGTCAGTTAGGCGTTTGCTTACAGTACTTATCACTTGTTCGGTAGTTAATAGCTTGTCTTTGAGGTTATTAACCTCCAAGATTAGTTGAGACTGTCCGGTGGTTAGTTTTTGCAATTCAGACAATACAGCAGATGTATCAGGACCAGGGTTGGATTCGATATCTCCAGCAAGTAACAGTAAACATCGCATTGCATGAGCGATTTCAACAGCAACAGCAAGACAACATCGTGGGCCCGGTAGCTGAACTAATAAGTAACTGCTCGTTCGTTCAGAAAATAGGGAGTATTGATTACACACCAGTGTGGCGAAGACGAAAGGATTTATTTATTTATTTATTAGAATACCCTCAGGGCCCGTAGGGCATTACAGAGGGGGTGGGTACAACATATATAACACACAAGAAAAAAAGAGAAAATAAAGAAACAAGTATCAGATGCGCAAATCAGGAAGGCAACATAAGTCAACTAAAATGTATAAGATTCAAGCACATACAAGACAAAGATAGATAATGAAAACTGCGTATAGTTACAAGCATTGCTGAGAAATTGCAGTCTTGAATAACAAAGGGTCTGTTATTGATACAACGGAAGAGGGAAGGTGGTTCCAATCGGCGGCTGTTTTCGGTAAGGAGGCTGCTGAAAAAAATTTGGTGCGGCAAAACGGAATGGCAACCTTATGCTGATGATCAATGCGCGATGAGTGGTATGACGGTTGTGAAATGAGGTCTCGCTTCATTGATGGATTGTGAAAAAATATCTTATGAAAAAAATGCAGTCGCGCCAGTTTCCTCCGGACAGTTAAATTGGGTAGGTCAAGGTTAGATTTCATTTCTGATATGCTAGCAGTACGGGAATAATTAGAACAAATGAACCGAACTGAGCGGTTCTGAACAGATTCTAACGCGTTAGAATTTGTTTAGTTTGATTAGTGGTCATCATTGTGGTGCAGCCACCAAGCCCACGAATTGTTGAGCGCTGATGGCGTTTTTTTTTTTAACAGCTGACCGAACGATGAGTGTTGATGTCGATGGCACCTCCAAAGCAGGACCGAGGGGCGGATGCCTAACAGACAGCGCCGCCGGGAGGCCAAATTCAGAGGAGCCGAATTCGGTGTCGTGTCTAGTGCGCAGTTGCGGTCTCATTGTAATGCGGGTCCGGCATACACTTCCAAGAGATGTAAAGACGATCTCGGTGATTACGGGAACTATCACCTGTGTAGCGAAGACGAAAGGATTAGTGGTCATCATTGTGGCGCAATCTTTGTTAACGTTACTTCCAATTGTCTTGTGCTGCACTATGAGCTATTGCAGGGATGCCTAAGGTGTTGGAAACTTGTGTCGCTTATAGTACAGAAGATTTAGTATGTTATCCGCGCAGACAAAGGTTGCTTAATCGTTCGAACGTGTTTTTGCTGGATGGTTTTTTGACGGATGCTGCCGCTAGGTAGATGTAGATCCTAAACTTGTGGCTCGCACCCACGATGGGGGATAGACCAACAATCGGGCAGCTTAACAAAATGAATATATAAATTTAAATACTAGCGAAAGTAATATTAACAGAAATATTGTTTTTTTCTAAATTATTTCTGATGAAAAATTCGAATGAATTAGTTCCTACTGAAAGAGCAATAAATGATTGATATCAAGGAAAATTTTTCAATAGTGTAACTTAGTTAACCAGGAACCTTTTGCAGATGAGGTCATTGATTAAGTCTCTTCGACTGTACAATGAAATTTCGCATGGCCTCGCACACTTTCCCGTTGCTGTGCCCTAGGGTATGTGCACCCAGGCTAGGGGTTGTAAATTTGACGTTGTCAAAGCTAATCCAAGGATTCGTAACAAGATTTCTAGTGATACCTTTCTTAATGATGAAAACTTTCTACAAGAGAACAAAAGTGCTCCACAGTTTCTTCTTCTCCACAAAAAATCACATTATATCCACGGAATGAAGGATGATTGGTGGGGCGAAGTGTTCGTCAGTGGGTCCGTGCTTTCGTCCACCCATTCGTTCTTTCTTCCGTCTGTCCATGCGTTCGTCCGTGTGTCCATCCATCCGTGTGACGGTCGGTGCATACGTCCATCCGTGCGTCCTTGCGTGCGTCCGCCTGTACGTCCGTTCTTCCGTCTGTTCGTGCGGCCGTCCCTCTGTCTATCTGTCCGTCCATGCGTCCACCCCTCTGTCTGTCCATGCATTCGTTTATCTGGTGCACAGTCCAAGTACAGCTATCTCACATATTTTCATCATTTATTCGTCATATACAAGTGCCGCCAACCAGCGGACATTCTAAGGACCACTCTTTCGGGTATATGCCACTGGTGCCTACATACATCTTTGGAGGATGGAAAGACCCACACCCTAAGGAGCTACGCCCCTAAAAGAATAGAGTGGGGAGAGAGTCAAGCCTGCTCTAAACAAATAAAAAATTAATGGAAGAATATACGTCAGCGTAATCGAGTGGTGAAAACATTGATTGATATGTGGGGTTTAACGTCCCAAACGTGAAAACATTGAGGTATCGGTTGTGGCACAACGAAGTTTTCTAGGGTGACATTAGATGGTTGAAGTACGGGGAATTTTTCAAAGATGGCGTATGGAATTCTCACATCTTCATTTGCCTCTGAAATCTTGACGCCACTGTAAAGGCTGTTGTAGGGGTAATATTTATAGCTGGTCCGTCTAACGCTATTTTCGCTAGTGCATCAGCTGCTTTCTCCAGAGTTATGCCGCTAGGGTGTCTGCCGCTTCGTTTATTTCTAGTCCAGTGTGACCTGGTACCCAAACCAGATGGACGTTTCGCACATGATTTGGCATATACGAATAAAGTTCTGTGAGGCAGCCCGACGAGTGAGATGTTGCTTATAGAGCAGTGCGCACGCTGTTAGCACCTCTACTGAAGAAAAGTGTGCTAGGAGTTTACACAATGCAAGAATGATTGCTAATAATTCTGCCTGGAATATTGTAACGAACTCAGGCAAGCGAAGAGAAAAGGACCAACTATGATACGTTGAATAGATTCCCGCTCCGGCCTTTACGTCAGGTATAGAAGCATCTGCGGCTACTACTGAATATATCCGCATGCTCTTAAGGTGGTCTTTCAACAACCCTTTTATATATATGGTGGGTCATAGTTTAGCCTTCTTTGGAAGTATATCGTCAAATTCTATTACCGTTGTGGGATTAAGTACGTTTGGGTAAATTATATCATAAAGTGATACTTGTAATGGTTCCAAAAGCTTTTCGCGAAAATTATTTGAGGCCTATGCAGCCTAGACTGCTCATATTAAAACGAATGTGGACGACTGATTAAGGAACACATATTAAGAGCGTCAGCATGGGGAGGTCTATATGTTTAGATACGTTTTAACATTCGGAACCAATAGTTTGAAAAGATGGCTTCATGAAGAAGTACACTGGCTACAACTTTCGGAAGGCCGAGACAGACGTAGTGCCTTACGCTCAAAAGGTGAAAAATTGGCGTAACGGCGGGAAGACACACGGGGAATTTTAACGCGTGGGCACAAAGAAAAAGCTGACATCGGCCGCGTTCACCCGATGGATGCAAAAAATAAATGCCATGGTCCCAGCAGGAACCGAACCCAGGAATCCGCGTGGCAATCAAGTATTAAATCACAGAACCACGCCAGGGTTCGGAAATATTTTTCAAACACGCAGACCCTAATTTTCATGAAACATCAATTCTGGTTGGAGTGCTGGCTATCCAATTTTTCTGCCATTTCATATGTAGTCCTATGATACATCCATCACGTCGTGTTAACGTAACTTGTACCTAGGTGCGTCCACTTAGGTTTATTTATGTAGCAGTGTCCAGGGCTTCCATTTTTGTGAATTCAGCACTTATCTGCTTACCGTTTTCTTCTGGCATTTCTAACATCCATGTTGCTGTTGGCATCGTTACAGAACTGTTAACAACTTGGTATATACAACATATATGGCCGTTTAACCTATGTCTGTGCGTGCACAGGTACATATGTTTTGCGCCACTTCGTGCCGTTTTATTCAATAAACGATTACAACCGTCAACTTCAATGCACATGCATCGCACAACGCATATTTCTAAGGTACGTAGGATATACCGAAATTGCACCCATGCCTTTTATCTCTGCGAAACAAATTCATATTAGAGGTGACTTTCGTATATAGTGGGTAACACACTCGCCTTCTCGGCATATCTTTTTACTCACCATATTTTTTATTTCCTTACAGCAGTAAGCCATACATGACCAGAGAAAGGACTGTTGAGTGGGCATAAAATGCGCAAGCATTTCAAATATATTACTACCATTGCACGCATCATCACTCACAAGGTATTTGATGAATTCGTATACCAAATCACAACGCAAAAGAAGTGTGCCGGCCTGGCGCATTTCGTGGTCGAATTTTGTTGAATTATGTCTTTTACGCAGTCTTTTCTCGGCGAGCCACTGACGACGCGTCTGTTTCGAGGCCAATTTTAGCAAGTACGTGGGCCTACTCATAGTCATGGTCGTCGTATTCCTTCTCCATGATGTGCAGCAGCGGCGTCGGGCGGCGCCTGTCCTCCTCGACGACAGCATCGTCGGCGGAGGCAGCCATTTCCATGATGCGCATGGCGCGCCATTCCCGCTGGCACATGGGCGCTAAGTGCGGCTCTCGACGAGGTGGCCGTTGCGGAGGTGGCGCGGTGACAGGCGTGATGAGGTTAATTTGCGGGAGCTGCGCCGCCACCTGCTCCTGGCGATCGAGCAGCTCCAGCAGCAGCTCCTGGCAGTGGGCATGCTCGTTCTTCGGGGGAGGAGGGGACGGTGGAGGAGGGCACGTGCATTCGAATCGGCTAACGACGCTGATCTGAGTGTCTGAAGCCGACTCTTGCCCTGGTGGTGGTTTGAGCAGAGCCGGTGTCAGACCCGGCCGTGGTCCTATGACTGCTTCGAAGACGACGGGGAGCCGCGGACGCATGAATCCAGCTGTCATAATGCGCGCCAGGGACATGTTGGAGCCGATTGGCTTGGCTGCTGGTGGTGGTGCGTTCGTGTCAGGTGCTCCTGCGCCTGGTGCGGTGGCGGGCGCAGCACCAGCAGTGTCTTTAGGTGCTACTGCATCTGGAGAAGCTGGTGGCGAGTCTGCGGCCGCCACGGTCGGCTTGGCTGCCTTGTCGTCGTCCTCCGTCTTCAGGGGTGGCCCCATGGTGATGTTGAGCGTGCCATCGGGAAACAGCTTCCATTCCATGCGCGTTCCCTTTGCCGAACCTATGGCGCCGTACATCGGCTGTGGAAGCATCATGGGCCCCATGGCGGGCACCGTGCACGCGGTGACGTGGCGGCATGTGGCCTTGTGGCCACTTCGTGGTATGCGCGGCGCCGGCATGCCCGCGGGCCCGTAGCTGTAACCACCATGTACGCGGCACGGTGATCGGCGGCCATCGAAGTTCTCGTCCGAGGCACTGATGACCACCTCAGTGATGCCCCCGGGACGGCGCGGGGCCCGACTTGGGGACGAGCTTCGTCGCGGTGGGGAGCGGCGGCCATCGCGCGGTACCAGCCTGGTGACAACCACTTCTTCGGTGACCTCCTCAGTGCTCGAGTCCGTGAAGCTCTCGCCACTGCCGTCGGCTTCTGGCTCAACTTCGATGGCAATCTGGATAGCCCTGGGTGGTGGTTTCTTGGACCCCGACGCAGAACCCGGCCGGGGAGCCGCCATGGCCGTTGTTCACGTGCCTCGCGCTATTCGTCGTTCTTTGCAGCGCGTGACATGATCACCTGGTGCCCTCTATATTTATATCCACGACATGATTCGCAAAGTTTTCTACGTCGGATAAATTTGATAAGTCTAGTTTAGCAACAACTGAGTTTCCTCATTCTACGTGTCCTTGGAAAAGTCGGTCTTGGCACTTAAGGGAAGGCTACGGAGGCGGAGCTTTTGCACTTGCAGAACCACACGAAGTAGTCTATTTCTGCGCGCGTCTCGTAACGCCGTGGAAAGTGGTGGGGGCGCACCATCAGTGTTTTATGTAGACGTAGACGTCGCTTAGCGTTTGAGCTGCACGTAAAAAGGTGGGACTGTTTACGCATTCGAAAATACGAAGTCACAACAGACAAATAAAAAAAAGACGATCATCTTACAGGTGTGAGCTGCGTCTTGTCTCAAAATAGCTCCAATAAAAAAAGAACATTTACACTTCACATTGAAAAAAATTCGGCAGATACCACGTACCTGGGAGTCGATGTTATGCAAAGCATTCGGAGGGAAGGTGACTGTATTGCAGTTTTTTCATTGGGCGACACGATAGGAAATGATGCTAAATATATGTACAAACATTGCACGCACAGACATATGTACAGGAGTTGCAGATGTTTATATAACCAGCTGTTTGCACTTGCGCAACGATCCCACCTGGAACATGCGTACGCATTAGCAACACCAGAAGCTGATATGAAGCGCTGATGCTCGCGAAGATGCTAGCCTTGGACACTGCTACATAAATACTTCATCGCATGCCCATTAACCACAATTGACATCAACCCGACGTGACGGCTGTATCAAAGAAGTACACGTGTAATGCTTATAAAATTGGGTAGGCAGCACTGCAACCGCTGTTGGCGTCTCACGAAGATTAACGTCCATTTGACAAGTAGTGTGAGACTTGGCGTAGCTCTGCGGTAGAATGCTTCATTGCCATGCAGAATGGTTTGATTTCCGCTGTAACCCGGACATTTATTCGTTGGATCGACGCTAGTGATGTCGGGTATTGTTTTACGCGCTAAAATTTCTCATTTGTGTTCTCGTCGTTCCTGGGTAGATACTAAGTGTCAATCATGTGTGGCTCATACCCGCATACCAGCGGCGCATACCCGCCCGTGGGTATGTACCACTGTCTGGCAGAAGGGATTTGACGACCTACGCGACGGTGTTGTGACATTATTCATGTCTTGACCAATGCATCATATCCAAACCATCTTATTCTCCTATGCTGATTTTGTTTCACGCCGAGTTAAGGAGGTGCCCACGAGAGCACTCAAACGTAAGCGGCTGGATGTATAGATAGATAGATAGATAGATAGATAGATAGATAGATAGATAGATAGATAGATAGATAGATAGATAGATAGATAGATAGATAGATAGATAGATAGATAGATAGATAGATAGATAGTTACGCGCGAAGTCACCGAAGTCCGCTATGCAATGCTTCGCACTTATTACGGGCGCTGCTTTGGAACCACCTTCACTGGTGGTAGGATGCACGTGATTTGGCTCCGTAGCTCTTCCTTCAGTGCCAAGAAAAGTTGTCACCTAGTGTAGGAATATCGTTTACGAGACGACGATGCTGAGTCCCCCCTCCCCCTCTTATTTTTACATACACTGGTCTGGTCTGTTACAGTCAGCCTTCTGCCTCCACTGCAACAAGAGTCTGCATCATTTCCTTTTAACACAAAGATTCATTCTGAATAAAAAATATTTTGATAGGAACTTTTCCGTAAGATGGCTTTAAACTTCTCTCTTCTGGGTGTCGTTTGCGAAGCCGTATGCGGTTTTCTTCGGGAAACCAAACAAACAAATGTAAGGCTTAGACATAAATTCCCTTTATGCCTAAGCTTGTAGGGGTTTCTCTTTTCTTTATTTTGTCTCTACCATTCTTAATTTCATCATTAGCCTGACTACGTTCTGACCATTTGTTTCCCGGTGGATACCCCGTGATGGGTTGCGCCAGGGTGTTAAGAAGTGACCTACCGGTGTGAGCAGTCACTGCTCACAGATAGGTTGCTTGACTGGTACTTCGAAGAATGGCTGCACTCGTGCGGCTGTAGAAGTCATCAAAACGACGCAAAGAAAACGCGGGAAGTGTAACTTATAAGAAAGCAATAACATTAGACACGTTTTTTTTTGTTTTTATTGAATGGTAATGAAGCACTAAACGGAATTAAATAAATATATAAAGTAAGATAAAGATTGTAAAGAAGGTCAACGCTGCTTTGAAAGGCAGCGGGTACCACTTAAAAACCCGAAACATATGCAGCGTTTTCCCGGAGCCGCTTTCCTCGCCGTCATCGCGTCAAAGCCACCAAAAAGGGTGGCAAACCATATGAAGAGGAGCGCCAAGGCCAGCGTCGCACAGTGTGTCGAAGAGAATGAACCCGAGACCTCGCAAAGCAGTGTGCAGTGTCTGTCAATGGAGCAACAACAAATTATCCTGAAAACCAGTTTCGTGTCTTATTTGCAGTTTTGAAGTGAGAAAAACAAATCACAGTACCACGGCAAGTTCATTTTGCCTTGTAGCGCCAGCTGTAGAGAATAACAAGAACCATAAACTCGATATATACGACCCCTGAGCTTGGAAGTTGTACATTTTTGAGGCCACGTATTCAGCTGAAACACTCAGGCCTGCTAAACCTACCTATGAACTTAAGTATGGCGCTCAAAAAGTGTTCAAATTATTCCCGACCGCTTCCTGTCCAAGCATCTGAGGAACATGTTAAATCAAATACAAGCATCAGTTGAAAATTTTTGGGTCACAGAGAGCACAGCGACGACCTAATAGATCCGAAACTGGCGGCAGCCATTTGGGCATCAGCAATGTTGCTGTTGCGTAGTGGAAGTCACTGGCGGACGTGCGCTGATTGGTTCTCTATTTTCAACTCGCTTCCGGCATTGGCGCCGACGCTGCAGATATCTGAATGCCACAAAAGTGGACGTTTCGGCCACCGTCAGCGGCAACGCCAGCGTATGAAACGCCGGCGAAACGCTGGAAAAACGCTGCCCATAATTTGGCCTTAAAGTATAAAGATGATAACGTTCGTGGTTGGTGCATCGCGATACTCAGTTCGGTGCGCATGACACAAATTGACATTTGAAATTAGCATCTTATTGTAATAGTCAACCGAGATACACAAGAATAACCTAATATTGTAATTATGGGAAGTATTCACATTCTACTGGGCCAATCCTCCCCAATGGGTGTGTGCCATGTGCGGAGGTTAAGAAGGAGGAGACGCAAAATACTTGTTGTCGAACACAGTTCGTAAAATAATTCTTCATGTTTTCCAGGAGTTAGATTGGAGCTACAACTTCGGTTCCCAACACTGGCTACCGGAACAAATGAACTTTGACTCAATAAAAACGAAAAGACGAGGTTCTTGCGAAGCACAAAGTTCCTCAGTGAACCCCAAGTCAACGAGTAAGAATTAATAGAAGAAAAACCCACCAAAGAAGGACTTCTCAAAAGCTAGCGTTTTGAAGAAAAAAGAAGCAGGAAGTAATGCTGGTATTTCACCAAAATAGGGAGTTTAAAGGTATTATAATACAATTGCCGCTTTATTTTTCGAGCAGCTATCAATACATTTTGTTTCTGTGGTCATTATTTCCTCGATGTTATTTTACAAGAAACTTGGCTTGCACGAAAAAATGCTTTTAAATATCAATATTATGGCTCAATTCACTTAGACCACAAATTTCCGGGTGGTGGTTTTGCAATATTTATGTTCTCTAAAAGCGCTCTTAGAGGTAAAATAACATATCAGTCAATGACCGTAGAAAGTGAGAATCTAGTGCTAGACAATACTATTCCTCGATACTTTCCATTGTCGTTAATTTTTACCAAATGATGCCATTCTGGATACGGCAGCTTCTTATTGCCAGAAAGATATTATATAAGTGGGGGACTTCAATTTTCATCATATTTTGTGGGTCTTCAGAACTGACTTGAATGGGGAACGTCGGTGAGACCAGGCTAATGAGAATAATTTTTATGTATAAACACAAGAACTCCCACTTTTTTGTGTAATAAGCCCTATTTTGGGCTTGACCTGACTTTTCATAGTGGTAACCTGTCCAACTCATTATGGTCTGTGATTTATTCGGACAGTCACTACTTAGTGACTACACGTCTGTATTGTTTGATGTGCTATGTACAGTAAATTTTGCGATCAGACCATCGGTTATGAACGTGGATTTAAGCACATTTAAGAAAGAATTAAGAGCGACTTAACCTAGTCGAATAGATTAAAGAGAACCAAACACTGCCACATTAGGCAGAACCTTAAAAGACTCGTTGAATAGGTCCAAAGCCACCTTAGAAAGTTCTAAAAACGCTACTACCAACTGTTGGTGGAATGTGGACTGTTTGAGGGCTTATTGGTCAAGCAAAGCTGCATGAAAAAATCACTGTTGAACCAGTGCCCTCGCTACTGGAGTGATTATTAGTATACATCCGCTATGTTGAGAGAACCGTTGCCGATGCGAAGGCAAAATCTGACAGTGAACGGTCTGAGTTTGTTTCAAGGACACCCAATAAAAAATCCTCATGAAAACAGCACCAATAACCAGCGACAAGAAAAGATTTTATGTGAACAATGTCGTACCAACTCGCCCAAGCAACCTCGTTAGCAATAGAAAATCATTATTTCACTTTCTTAGAACTACAAACACTAAAAAAATCCTTCCAGTACAAAAAAACGTTGAATCTCAGATATCAACACCACGTGAACTGAAGACGTTCAGGTGAAACGGAGACCCAGGGCCCAGCAAGTCGCTTCATGACTGTCCTTTTATACCAACCCCACTCCCTCCATAGGAGTAAGTATTTTGAAGAGGTCGCAGCTGCAGAAGCATAAACTGTAGTAAGAACTCTGCCTAATTCCGCTCCAGGTCCTGAGATAACGGCGTCTGTACTGAAGAACACTGCAAAATATTTAACGCCTTGC